GGGATCTCTGTGCAAATATGAAGTAAATACGCACAGGATTCACGTCCTCGACACAACTAATTATTTTGCGTGCCGATTTTTTTTTTACTGTAGTCTCTCCTGAAATAGAATAACAGTGGCACAGAAAACTTTGTTGTTGAATGGATGGGTGACTGAATTGGTTTCTCGCACGAGAGCTTTCTGTTTTTTTTTTGGAGATTTTGAGATATATACAAGAGCTGTTACATTCTTGTACAGCCACTAGTACGCGTAGCGTTTCGGGCAAGTCCATAATCCTAAGGTCCCTGGAATACGATCCTCTGCCGCGAAGATTCGTTTTTTCATCCAAGTACACATTTTACTGTTGCGTTAAACAGAGGCTACAGTTAAGGAATTGCGCCCAGTAAATCCTCCCCGGCCAGGATACGAACCCATGACATAGCGCTCGCGGAACGCCAGGCGAGTGTCTTACCACTACACCACGGAGACCTTTCTTTGGAGTGGGAGCCATGTTTAATCCCCAATGTACCTTCTTGTATATAAATAAATAAATAAACATCTTGTATCTGGACTCTCTATCTACCCACAAGGGACGAAAAGTTCTTCAAGAGTGCCCTAATGTTATTCATAAGTGTTCTACTGTTCTTCACAATTTTGTTAATGTTTATAAAGTTGAAATATATTCTTTCTAGATAGCGACTTCCCAGGCTTTGTTACACCAATGAGGCTAATTATCTTGTTGAAATATTCGAAAATAATATTAATATTCTAGTTGTAAATCCACTTTTACTACACTACCTGTCGGCCGAGCGGACAGCAAGCTGGACTTGTGATCCTGCGGTCCCGGGTTCGATCCCGGGCGCCGACGAGAAACAATGGGCAGAGTTTCTTTCACCCTATGCCCCTGTTACCTAGCAGGTAAAATAGGTACCTGGGTGTTAGTCAGCTGTCACGGGCTGCTTCCCGGGGGATGGAGGCCTGGTCGAGGACCGGGCCGCGGGGACACTAAAGCCCCGAAATCATCTCAAGATAACCATATTCAACCCCAATCACTATACGTTCCAGCTCGAAATCCTCTTATTGATGTATCACTTTAATGGGCTTTTCTTGCTTACCAAATATATAAAACCAAGAACCCAATTAGTTTCATTACTGTATGTTCAACTCACTGTCGTCATGGTTTCAATGTTAAGTTTATATTTGCCTCAAAATCCTATCTGGACTTGAATTTACTAATATAATTGCTGACTATAATTGCTGACTATAATTGCTTAGCTATTATAGTCGTTCTCTTGCAATTTTTATACATTTGTTTATATTAAACTAAGGCCTATAAAGGGGCTTCCTATACTTTCATAGGATTTTTTGAATATTTAATGCGCCGTGTGGTATTACGGTCCGTTTATTTGCATAATATTGTCGAGGCCAGCAGCAAGATGGATTATGAGTGATGTAAACAGTAAAAAGATCACAAGGAAAACAGATTATCGCAGCTTGGAAAAGCTATGGGGGAAAAATGCTGTTATGGTGCCAGATTTCCATAAAACGGATTTTGAGGGGATAAATGGTTTATATGGAAGGGTTGATTTGGCGGACCTGACCATAGGAGGTGACCTGATGGTGGACCTTGGCGCTGAATGACGTGGTAATGCAGACGAGGAGTCACAATAACGTGGCTGAAATATGTTGACCAAACCACATACTAGTAAGTGAAGGGACGACGATGTTTCGGTCCGTCCTGGACCTCAAGTCGATTGTAATAAAAATACTTTCAATGGATAATTAATGTAACTAAGAAAATTTATCGTTAAAATGAAAGCTATGCACAAATGTACTAAGAATGGTGAAGTCTGTCTAGAACAATAATATGTCAAACTCAAATATTTCAGACATACCTGATATATCTATTAATTTAAAATTACAAAGAAATTGGTGGCATTTTAAGGCACTACCAGATGTTTTTTGCATTCAGATTTCTGAATTTTAACTTTATCCAGTTAATGTCTGGTAGCTCTATTAATCATCACCTAAGCTCGGAATTTTAAACTTTTCAGCACTGCATTGAATCTGCCAATGTTCCGTTCACATTCAAAACCTATATAAATCGTCTTTTTGGGATTCTGAGTTTTCAACTGAGTATAATTCATTCCCTATGTGTGTGTCGTTTGCAAATTTGCAAATGTTGTAGTTCATTCCCCTAAAAATCGTTGCATATGGGGAAAACAATAGAGTTCCCACTAGAGCTCGGCACACTTCCCTTAAAACGGGTTTCCAATAGGACTTGTTTCAAACTATGGAAACTCTCTTCTAACTTTAAAATAACAACACCCTACTTTAATTTAATATTCCCTTGGATGCCACAAGAACTTAACAATGAGGCAGCCACGTCTAACTTACATCCGAAACAATACAGCGATTCCACATCCATTATGTTACCCTGTAATTTGTTCCATAAATCAGCAACCCAATTTCCGTACCAGTATTTACCCAGGTCTTTTCTGAATCTAAATTTATCCAATTTATTTAAATTGTTCGTGTTTTATTTTGAATTGATGTATATATAAAATCTAATTAATTTCCTCTGTTATACCACTTCGTCCATTTTTTGCACTTCAATCATGTCATCTTTAACTCTACGTATTGCAGAGAATAATAATAATTAAGCATTTTTAACATCATTTTTAACAGAGGAGAAGGGTCTAATTCCGGGGATAAACTTTGCCATCCTTCTCTGAACGCTTCAAGTGAAGCGTTCTATTCTATATACGGAGACCAAAACTGAACCGAATGATCTAAATGGGACCCTAACTAGTGTAAATTAAAAAAAATGACAGTAGCTGTCGCTTAGGAAAATAAGCACCAGTATTCCATTATTACATTATTAATAAGTCCACTGCGGGCTCACTATAGCCCGTGCTACTTGGAGCTATTTGTTCCAGGTAGCGAATCTTAAAAAGCAACAACCACCATTATTCTACTTTCTTTACCTCGTACATTGACGCATTAACATCCCTAATAATGATCAGTCGAATCGTTTCAGGTTTTACAATTGCCACATTGTCTACCTGATATCTGGTAACTGTATAATTATTAACCATGCTGATATCACTGCACTTTTCAGCATTAAACTGTACTTGCCAGTTTCTCGTCCAGGTTATGTTACCTTTAGCCAACCTGTTTCGGATCAGAGGGGCTAACTGAGGCTTATGCAAACTGGACTTAAATTGTATTTGAAGTTTTTTAATTGTATTTGAAGTTTTTTAATTGTATTTGAATTGTTTTTCTTAGACATTTTTATCTATATTTGATGCCTGTCTGACCAATGTTCGTGCCATTATATACAAATCTATAATTCCACCAAGATTCGAACCTGCGAGGTCATGGATCACCCCCACTGGCTATCCCACAGTACCAATCCCACCTCACCAGCCATTGCATATATGTATAATGATGAATAAACTGAGCATACAATACCTATGCTATTATATCCCCACCACCCTGTACTTACCTTGGGTGTTGATGAGCGTGAGGAACATGACCCAGAGGAGTATATCCATGTTTGTGTGAGTCTGTAGAGGTGGAGCCCTCCAGACGGCGGCGCCCTTGGGAGACCTGGTAGGAAAGGCAAACTCACTCACTCTCCACTTCTAGCCTCCTCAGAATTTTACGGTGTTGATCAGTGCAAAGGACGTTTCACTCTGGATGGATTCCCCGTATTTTCAGGTTTCATTTAATATAAAAAAATCATTAGCGTTGGGTCTTTATAATTTGTTTTTCTCTTTTTCGATTTATGGTTGATGAACGTTCACGCGGAAAGGAATTTAAAACCCTGGATACACTAGAATTGTTTCTAGAGGACAGTAGTTATTGGTTCTCGATTACTATATGATGATTACATCGTTCGGGTTTACTTGTTGTTTAGCATTTGTTATTGATTAGCATAACAAAAATTGATTTATCTTGGAGATTATTATATATTAACACATTTAAATGTATAGGCCGCTTTAGAATGTAGTGATCACGTTGGAGAGCCACGCCCACGTTGGAGGATGGTGGCCACATTCCAGAGTTATGGCCACGTGGGAGAATGGTGGCCACGAGGAAGAGGGGGTGGCCATGTGGGAGAATAGTGGCCGTGTAGAAGAGTGGTGGCCATGTGGCTAAGGGATGGCCACCCACGGGTGAGTTGTAGCCACGCTGAAGGCACCCTTCACGCACCTTCTCCTCTCACCCTTTTCCCCCACACTCTGATCTGAAGGAAAAAAAGTGAAATTAAATCATGGAACGGTGGGGAAAGCGTCTTGGAGATATACTAGCACATTCAATTAAACAACACATTGACACATTTTGCCTGATAGAGGACTCGGACATGGCTTCTTGCGCAGGCCACCGTGTCCTACACATCTGCTCTCTTTCTGCACATGCCTGAGGCAGTCGATAGCATGCGGACCTTCGTGCATCTTCAGAGCTGGTTCCCAGTCAATCGTTGCCCTTTAAATAAGGGTGCTGTCATCTAATAAAGCCTTGCCATCACTCTGTAAAATATTGTTACTTGCCAGCAAGATTCTGGCATGTATACTGGGAACATTTCCCGAGACAAGATGTATATGTATCCAGAACAACTGTGGGGGAATGCATGAGTGAGATGGACTAAGCAATGTTCAGGAAAACTCCATGATGGAACAGAATCATATTTCTATTTTTTTTAGTTTGAATTATGTGCAATACTAATTAAGCTCATAAGAACAACAATGCACGAAGGCTTTAAAGCTGCTAATTTTTCGACAGGATGAAGTTTACTAAAGCTATCAAGAAGGCAACTCTTGAGCTCCGGATCGGGTGGATTGTCTTGAAAACTACTCATCCGTTGGCGGCCAATAGCAAAAGCCTGGGTGAACCGTCTGTCATTCACTAGAAAACAGAAATTGAAACCTGTCATCAACCAGGATGATCAGGTGGTGGATCAACCTGATCATCCTGGTGGATCAACCTGATCATCCTGGTGGATCAACCTGATCATCCTGGTGGATGAAAGGTTTCAATTTCTGTTTTCTAGTGAATGGCAAACGGTTCACCCAGGCTTTTGCTATTGGCCGCCTACGGATTCAGTCCAAAACCAGGACTAAATCTTATCATCCATAGACCGGTAACGTTTTCCAGGACAGAATAACGCTGACAAATATTCAGAAAGCTATAGCCAGCAGCACTTGTGTTCAGGGAATATCCATTACATGATATCTTTTTCTGTCAATGTTTACTTCTTATTTTAAAAGTCAAATGGTGGGCGGCGCTCGCGTCGTTTTGTTTACAACTATAGGTTACCGTTGCAGACTGTTGACGAGAGACATAAACAAGAATCATTGCAGATGATTTTGCAATGGGTGGGGGGGGAGACCTGCGGTCAGATTTACGAAGCAGTTACGCAAGCACTTACGGCTCTGTACATCATTTCTCAATCTCTAGCGGCTTTGTTTACAATTATTAAACAGTTAATGAGCTCCGAAGTACCAGGAGGCTGCTTATAACAATAAAAACAGTTGATTGGGAATTTTGCATGCTTCTAAAGTGTTTAATAAATGTAACCAAAACAATCAAAGGTTGAGGAAAGATGTACACGTACGTAAGTACTTGCGTAACTGCTTCGGGAATCTGGCCTCTGGCTTCTGAAAACTGAAGTTCTTCCACACAAAAAGTGTGGCAGTGTGTGTGGAAACTTTTCATGTTTTCTTATAAAAAAACGCCTTTAAAGTATTAGAGTATGCTATACCACCGTATCATGGGCATATATATCAAATATGTCATATACCACCTATATGTGGATGGCCTATATGTTGGCCATCGTGTAGCGTGGGTGCTATACGGTGCATCCGACTGCATAATCCTGAATAAATTCAAACCATTCCTAACTCATAATTTAAATGTAAAACATATTTAATAAAAAATCATTTCACTTGTGTTGAATCAATCATGGCGGTGCTGTAATTAAGTTCATGGTTCGCAGTCACACAGACTGGCGGGAATAAACCCAGTAATTGATACCCAAACCGTTTGGGCCGTATCCCCCATTCGTCCGACGTTTAGTCCACACTCACACAGTTCAATTTGGTTCTAGTAACTGTCGGAGTGGTGATTGATGTGTTGACCGCTATTGTGACTATTGATGTGTTGCACTGGCTGGTGTGGTGACGTATGTAGTGGTGCAGTGACTGACGTAGTGAGTGGTGCAGTGATTGATGTAGTGAGTGGTGCAGTGATTGATGTAGTGAGTGGTGCAGTGACTGACGTAGTGAGTGGTGCAGTGACTGACGTAGTGAGTGGTGCAGTGATTGATGTAGTGAGTGGTGCAGTGATTGATGTAGTGAGTGGTGCAGTGATTGATGTAGAGAGTGGTGCAGTGACTGACGTAGTGAGTGGTGCAGTGACTGACGTAGTGAGTGGTGCAGTGACTGATGTAGTGAGTGGTGCCGTGACTGACGTAGTGAGTGGTGCCGTGACTGACGTAGTGAGTGGTGCGGTGACTGATGTAGTGAGTGGTGCAGTGACTGATGTAGTGAGTGGTGCCGTGACTGACGTAGTGAGTGGTGCAGTGCCTGACGTAGTGAGTGGTGCAGTGACTGATGTAGTGAGTGGTGCCGTGACTGACGTAGTGAGTGGTGCAGTGACTGACGTAGTGAGTGGTGCAGTGCCTGACGTAGTGAGTGGTGCCGTGACTGACGTAGTGAGTGGTGCCGTGACTGACGTAGTGAGTGGTGCAGTGACTGACGTAGTGAGTGGTGCAGTGACTGACGTAGTGAGTGGTGCAGTGACTGACGTAGTGAGTGGTGCAGTGCCTGACGTAGTGAGTGGTGCAGTGCCTGACGTAGTGAGTGGTGCAGTGACTGACGTAGTGAGTGGTGCAGTGATTGACGTAGTGAGTGGTGCAGTGATTGACGTAGTGAGTGGTGCAGTGATTGACGTAGTGAGTGGTGCAGTGACTGACGTAGTGAGTGGTGCAGTGACTGACGTAGTGAGTGGTGCAGTGACTGACGTAGTGAGTGGTGCAGTGACTGACGTAGTGAGTGGTGCAGTGACTGACGTAGTGAGTGGTGCAGTGACTGACGTAGTGAGTGGTGCAGTGACTGACGTAGTGAGTGGTGCAGTGACTGACGTAGTGAGTGGTGCAGTGACTGACGTAGTGGTGCATGACTAATTCAGTAAATTGCCCAGTACAGGATGCAGTGACAGTTGCAGTGACCTGCACCGAACGGTACAGTGCCAAGTATAATGCACTGGTACACTGGCCGGGGCACTAAACATTGAAGCGGATTGTGTAGAGTTGAACAGCAGTGAGTGAGCGAGTACGAGTGAATTTACGTGCTTCTTAATAAATAAATAATATATATATATATATATATATATATATATATATATATATATATATATATATATATATATATATATATATATATAATGCGAACAAGCCTGAATGGTCCCCAGGACTATATGCAACTGAAAACTCACACCCCAGAAGTGACTCGAACCCATATCGCCAGGAGCACTTTACTGGCGTACAGGATCCCATAACCGCTCGACCAACACGACCGGGCAAAAGAGGAATGAGGTGATTTGATAAAATACCATGCCCAAGATTACCGACCGAGTGCCGGCAGGGGGATGGAAATAGCGTCGGCTACCATCCTCTTTTGTCCGGTCGTGTTGGTCGAGCGGTTAAGGGATTCTGTACGCCAGCAGAGTGCTCCTGGCAGTATGGGTTCGAATCACTTCTGGGGTGTGAGTTTTCAGTTGCATATAGTCCTGGGGACCATTCAGGCTTGTTCGCATATATATATATATATATATATATATATATATATATATATATATATATATATATATATATATATATATATATATATATATATATATATATATATATATAATATAATATTTGGCTGACCACTCACGCTGGACGAGTTGGTGTGAATGCTTCCAGTGTATATAAATGTTCGTCTTTTCTGTTATTCATATTTTTGAACATTTGTTATATTACTCTAGGAAACTGTCTTTTGTAGTTTCTGGCTCTCTCCTCTTCCCTTCAGTGTGGTGGTGTCTAGTTAATATAGCTTTTCCTTCGAACATAAACCCTTCGCTGTGCCATTTTTCGAGTGAGAGCTAAATTTCCTTGCTGCATACTCTAGAGCGGTTCTCAGGTAGGTTGCATATAGCTTAAAATGGCATTTTTATCTGTATTCCTAAAGGTTTTACGGACGTTTAGCGGTTTAGAACACTCTACCGATGTTATTAAACTAATGATTTTCCCTAATTATTTTAGTTTTTTTGGAGTTAAATCTATTCGAGTTAGAGATAAATTGTCGTCAGTTCATAAGCTTCTTTTATCCGGATAATTTATGATTTCAAATCAACCGCAAACACTGTTCTACATAGACAGGGTATGTCTATGTCCTTGCTCAGACAGAGCACTGACGTACATTAGGAACTAGAGTAGCCGGCGGCGCCCGGGTCTCTGTTCCCCCTTCCCCACTCCTTCCTCTCGATTTCAAACTCGTCTCTCTTTTTCTCCCTATTCCTCCTCTTTTCCAGTCTTCTACATCTCTTTTCCCACTCTCTCCCCTCTCTCACTTTCTTCCTCCTCTCTCCAATTCTCCCACTCTCCCCCGCTCCACCAACTCTTCACCAGCATCATCCCCTCTCCCCCTCTTACACCTCTCGTCTCCCCTCTCCGGCGTCTCCCAATCTCCCCCTCATCTCTCTTTTCCAACCCCCAACTCCTCCCACCCCGCTCTTCCCATCTCCCTTCTCAATCCCTCTACACCTTTCTCCTTTCACTATTCCAAACCTATTCCCTGTCACACCTCCCGGCCCTTTTCCTCGCCTGCCTCTCTCTCTCTCTCTCTCTCTCTCTCTCTCTCTCTCTCTCTCTCTCTCTCTCTCTCTCTCTCTCTCTCTCTCTCTCATAAAATAATATAAGAGTTTCTCAATTGCCTTGCGGATTAGTCCGCTAGTGGAAGCTGCCTAGCGGTAGGAAATATATGAAACTATTCTAGTTTCCTTTTGGCTTTGAGAAAGAGACAGGGTTTGATAAAGTCTTAGAAGTTGTGGGTGAATCGTCTTTTTTATGCTATTTAAGCAAAATATGATGAATAGAAAATATTTCATTTTTTTCGAGATCGGTGCATAATTTTTCACATTACAAAAAGAAAACAGTTTTAAAAAAAATATTTTACAAATATTTAGCCAGGCATAT